TCTTTAATTCATCTGCTGGCAGGCCGAAAATCACACCCAGGCAATCCCCACTGTAGACCCACTGCATGCAATAGCATGCCTCGTCGCTTGGGTCGCTGCTGCTGGCGCTGCTGCCTCGTTGTGTGCCGCGGACAGTACGTGGCCATAATTAAATGTCGACATGCAACACGGAACGGAACCGAAACGCTGGAAAGTATGCCACACACACACACAGAGAGGAACAGAGAGAGAGAGAGAGAGAGAGTGGAGCAGAGATTCTTTTTCAGGTTTTGGTTTAGGGAACGACGCAAACCCTGCGGCCTCCTCCACCGGGGGGGTGCTCCACGAAAAGGGGTTTTTAGAAGGGGGAAAACCCATGGAAAGTGTCGGAGGAGGGTGTCACGAGTAGCGCCTCTCTCTCTCTCTGCACGTAATGATGTAATAAAATCATTTCACACCTCATGAAATGTCGGCAATTTCCGTTGAAATTCGATTGAACTTCCGCACTGGCAGTAGCAGCAGCAGAGGCGTGTGGGTCGGGCCTATGCCTGAATCCTGTTACGGCTACGGCTACGGGTCCTCGATGGACGGTCCTCCTGTGTGTGCACTAGTGGACTAGGCACGACCCACGGCATGCATGTACGTGGCATGTATATCATTATACTCCCCCACTGCCACACTGCCGCACTGCCGCACTGCCAGTCAGAGGAAATACATTCCGAGACTCCCAGCCATGCCCCAGCCCCTGCCCCAGCCCAGCCCCTGCTGACGTTTTAATTTTATTCGACTGATGCGCAGGAAAGAGAAGGAAATTCCCCGACTCAAAATTGATTGAAATGATATTGCAAAGGCGTGATGGAAGCAAATGCCCAAAAGGCAGGGCCCCCAAAAGCAGGGAGGAGGCGTCTCTACATCAGTCTCTCTCTCTATCTCCCTCTCCCATAATTCTCTCTCTCTGTTTTGGTGCGTGTGGGCTGTGATGCTGTGATCCATCGGCCACTTCTTCCTGCTGGTCTCTTCTATTGAATCGTAAAAAACACAGGAAATCATTTCGTCATTCCATAAATTGTTATGCCGTAAATCTCTGCAATCAAATGGGCTACATGCGCACACACACACACACACTCACAGCTGCTTTGTCTCTGTATCTGTGTGTGGTTTCGTCCTTGAGCCTGTCTCGTATTTCTTTTTTTTTTGTCTGTGACCAAATTTGTTGGCCCGAAGCCTCCGTCTCCGCTTCTCCGCCTCATCCAGGGGTTTATTGTGTGAATTTCGTCTGAGCAGTGATTTGGCCAACTAACCAGAAAGCGTGGGTGCGAGAGGGAGGGAGGGGTGTGGTGGGGGGAGACCACAGATGAGCCTTAACCCTTGAGCGAGATTTGGGGGAGAGTTTTCCCCAGGGAAGGGATTTACCTAATTGAAGCACAAATATGTCTGTATGTGTGGCTGGTTTTCATCACCTCGAAAAGGGGAAAAAACCAGTTTAACGTACCTTAAGTGATTCCAAAGACCTGAGAAAATCCATGGAAACTGGCATTTGTGGTAGATCTTGGTTTACTTAAGGAATGTGCTTAAAGAAGTACAAATATAGTCCATGATGAAAGGCTGACATTTCCAATGAATTCATCTGAAAAAACAAGTAAAGAAAATTTAAATTTAATAGGTTTTTTCATTGGTAGTTGAACTTAGAAATAAAGAGCTTTAAAAAACAGTAAATATTTATAAAAAAATAAAGATTAAGGATACCCCTATTCCAGCGAGAGTTCAATCATACCTGGCCTTACTCTTTTCAAGGAATTATGAATAATTAATATTAAAAAAAAATAAAAATTAAATAAATATATAAACTGAGAATCTGGTGTATTTTAACCTCGAGCCACGTCTGGCCTCGATAAAAGCCTTCCAAAGGCTTAGTCTAAAAAAAATAACGAAAAGAATTCATACGATATTTTTGTCGTGTAATAAATACTATATGTACATATATACCAACAACTTAGAATATAAACTTATATACTTTAAACATATTTATTGGTTGTTAGGGTAATTGTTAAAATATATGCATTGCAGAAGTGCTCGAGGATTTAGAAATAATGGAAGAAATAAATTGCAAAACTGTTGAGAATTTTTGTTAGTTTATTTCTATATTTATTTTAGAATTTTCTTGGTATTTCTGAATGGATATTTCTTAGTTACATTTACCCATTACTTAAACAGAATATTTCTACTTTATGTTAGATTTTCTTCTATATTTGTATACAATTTATATTCTAGCCAATTCCCACAGTCATATCCCATCTTTTTCCCTAAGAAATTCGTATATTTTCCATACCATTCCCAATCTACTTCGAATCAGATGCCTTCCATTTGCAATATATTCCCATTTTCTTCGAATTCCAATGAATATTTGTTCCATTTCATTGCTAATTTGTCAGGAAATCCCCATCGGTGGTGGCAGAGCCTCTTCCCCCTGCACATCCTTCATCGTTCAGCTCCTCGGAGTGACCACAATCAACCCAAATGATCAGTGAAACGTTGAAAGAGAGCTCTGAGCTCTGAGCTCTGGTGACCGCATGAGGGTTAACAAACAAATCAAAAGCCTGGCCAAAAGAAATCCCACACACACACCTAGACTCTAGTCAGCATGTGGCATGTGGCATGTGTGTGGCATAGATGCGGAATTATATAGTACAGGTGTCAGGACACGCCTCGTTTGCTATGTGGCGCACGTGCAACTTAACCTCAAAAGAGGAGACCAGCGGAGAATGAGAGAAGAGAGAAAGTAGAGCGAAAGGAAGAAAGGAAGAAATGTGGGTCGGCACACCAGTCACCACCAAAAGCCAGTCGGATGTTGCAAGCCAAGTAAACAGCAGCCAAAGGCAGCGCCCAAAAGCAGTGCCCAAAACGGATGTGTAGTTCATAAATTTCGTCAAATGCCAACAGAAAAATTGACTTGTCGGCTGTCGTGCTGCTGTGGCTCCTTCTGCTCCCTCGTCTGCTCCTTCTTCTGCTCCTCCAATTGTATCCATTTTGGTGCTTTTCTTGACCAAAGAAAAATCAATGGAGCCGCCAGCCGGCAAGTCATCTTGTGGCTAAAATCATAAATATCTGCGCCGCAGCGAAGGTCCTTGGATTGGCAGGTGAATTTGTCATGTATCCTCCTTCCACTCTCCAGCACTCCTTTCTATGTGCCCTTCGTTCACTCCCTTTGAGCCATCATCCACTTTCCTGGCCATTAGTCAAAAGTCTGACGAGAAAGAGCAGGACAGACCCACATAAGGGAGCCCACAGGACCCCCACAGGATGCCACAGGATGCAGAGGGCTATATCCTGCGAATGGCCATTAGTTGTTGCGCAATTTATGGACCCATCCCTAGCCGTTGCGCTACCCGTTATATTTTCAATATAACGGAACTATTAAAGCAGTTAAATGATAAATTATGCGCCCGCCGCACAGACAATAAGCAGTGCGTTCGGCTGGGGGTTCGGCGGGGGGGAGGGGGGTCGTTGGCAGCAAAGTCAATGCCGTGAAAGCTTTTTATGATGACGCACTTCCGACACGACTCAATCGGAAAGCGGGGAATCCCCTGCAATCCCCCCGCAATCCGCAGCCCCATCTGTTTGTCTGTCTGTCTGTCCTTAAGCCTCCCCAACCCCCAACCCCCCCTCTCCGCCTTTGGTCAGTCCGCCTTTCGTCGTACACTGCGGGCGTGCGCTTCAATTGCGACTTTTATGGCACATCAATCGTAGTCATCCTTCGTCCTGGCTGACGTCGGTCCTGCTCCGCCAGAGAAGCCGTTAACTTTTATTGATTTCAATGGCCCAGGATTTGCTCAGTGATTGTCCAGGACCAACACAGAGGCCAGTGTTCAGTGGCCAGTGGCCAGTGTCCAGTGTCCAGGCGGCAGCTCATGAAAGTGCCTTCAACGCCTTTTGACTTAACCGCCAGTCGCTTTGTCTTTCCTTTTGTGGGGGCCTGCAACTATCAAAAGGGGGCACCGTCACCGACACCACACCACACACACCTCCCCCCCCCCCTCAAAGGTCATTAAGTCAAGCTGTGGACATAAATAAGCCGCAGGACATTGAAAAACTTTGCTGCTTTCCCGTTTCATGGTGTGTGCTTTAAGGCTTTCCGAGGTGTTTGAGCCTGGCTTGAGCCTGACCATTCTTTGGCTCTATTAAAGTGCTGTTAAAAGTGGCTTTGAAAAGCCATTTGAATGGGTAATCAAAGCAAAAGGATGGCACACCTGGTAATAGGGTAATAGGGGGTTAACGAGGCATCAAGGGGATCTGGAAGAGGGCAGATGGAGGCGGTAGATATATAGAGATATGAAAATTTGGGGCTCAAAAGTTCTTAAAGATATGATTAGGGGAGGGCTCAAAGATTATTATATCCTCATTTAAAATATGGAGAGGAATATGAATGGAAAGATAAGGGATATATATCGTAGTAGGTACTTACGTAGAAAGGGCAGACTATCTATATATATTTCTCTGGGATATTTCGCTCTCGATGTCATTAGATTCATTCTCAGGGGTGTCTTCCTTCCTTATCATCCTCGTAGTTCACTTCCTTCTCGTTCTCTGATCGGTTGAGCACCCACAAAGACCTTTCCTATACGATATTTACTAGAGAAAGAGAGAGAGAGAGGTATAAATATGCATTAAAGAAGTTATGAGATATGTATCTATAGTAATATATAAAGATACGAAAGTATGGAGGAAATAGTAGAGGTTAAACCATAAACAATGCACATTGAAAGAGGTTTTTGGCACCAAATGTATGATTCAGACCCGCTTTAGGCACTCTTATAGCATCTTGGACAGGTCCAAAACCTTCCTTGTCGAGCCTCGCTGCCAATCCCTTTCGCGCTCATGAGTGTACTTTGTTTCTGGATTCTTTGCAGCACTCGCAGCATCTCGGAGCACTTTAGACAGATGGCAAGGAACTCATAGAATGCCCGGATATTTGTGTAAATATTTTATTTCTATTATCTAGCTCACAAATCCAAAATTTTCTTGCGCACAAATCCCAACTCCAGTCGAAGATGGATGTTCGATACTTGAAGAATACCTACCCGGACTTCCCCAGAAAGGGCGACAACACAGCGGCCTACGATGAAGAGCCCATCAAAGACCTAATCTCCACCTACGTGAAGAGCATCTTGGAGACCTGCAAGCCCCAGAAGGAGGATCGCGGAGACCTGTACGTGGGCAACGCGGGCATAGCCTACATGTTCTGGAAGCTGTCGCGCAGCAGGCATACCCGTGATCTGTGGCCCACAGCCTTGCAGCACGCCTCGACGTTCATACGCAAGGCCAAGGCGAATGCCGAGCTCTTCAAGAGGCGTTCGTCGCTGCAGAGCTACTCGTTTCTCTGCGGCAGTGCTGGCATCTATGCGGTGTCCGCAGCCATCTCGGAGGCCCTCAAGGACCCCCAGGGGCTGTCCAAGGACTTGGCGAGCTTTAGGGCGGCCATGCCTTCGGACAAGGACACCGGCGGCTGCGATGAGATATTGGTGGGACGTGCCGGCTATCTGTCCGGCTGCTACTGGCTGAACGACGTGCTGGCGGACCAGAAGATCCCCGACGAGGACCTGATCGCCGTTTGCCAGGACATAGTGGCCAGCGGTCGCCAGTACAGCGCGAAGAACCACTCCCACCTGCCGCTGATGTACGCCTTTCACGGCACGGAGTATCTGGGAGCCGCCCACGGACTGTCCGGCATTCTGCACATGCTCCTGGAAAGTCCGTGGTTCCGCAAGGGCCACTCCCTGGCCTCAGAATCGTCGTTGTTTGACATATCCGCTCCTGCGGACGTATTGCACGACCTCAAGCGCTCCATCGACTGCATTCTCACGCTGCAGAATGACGAGGGAAACTTTCCCATCACCCTGGAGGAGGGCAACGACAGGCGGCTGGTGCAGTGGTGCCACGGTGCGCCCGGTGTCGTCTATCTGCTGGCCAAGGCCTACCTGATCTTCAAGGAGCACAAGTACTTGCAGGCCATAGAGCGCTCAGCCGATTGCGTGTGGCGCAGGGGCTTCCTCCGCAAGGGTCCTGGCATCTGTCACGGTGTGGCCGGCAATGCCTACGTGTTTCTGCTGCTGTTCCGCCTGACCCACGACACGATTTACCTCTACAGGGCCCACAAGTTCATGGAGCTGCTGACCAGCGACGAGTTCAAGCAGAAGGCTCGCGTCCCCGACAGACCCCACAGCCTGTACGAGGGTGTGGCCGGGACTGTTTGCTATTTGGTGGATCTGCTCGAGCCGGAGGAGGCCCACTTTCCCTTCATGGATGTGTTTCACTAGGAAAAGCATGGGGCAGGCTTAAAGGAGGGGTCTGAGGTCACGGCCAAGGCTCGGAGGTAGGTCGGCCAGGTCTCCAATATGTCTTGAGATCTCCCAAAGTGTCCTTCTTTAAGGTACTACCCCCAAACCCTCTCCTAAATCCACAAACACTGTCCACTCCCCAGGTTTAAAGCTAGGTCCTTCTTTAAGGTCCTCGATAAATGAATCAAAATTAAACAAATATTCCCCCAACCCAAGCCAAAACCCGATTAGAATATTCCTGGAATCGCAAGCCTTTTGGAAAATTTCATGGAATTTCTGCGGCTGCGGCCTTGAAGGACATACATTTTCGGTGAATAAACATTCGACTCTCGTTCTGCCAGAGGACTTTGCTGAGTGCCGAATGAATGCTGCTGCAGGAGCAAGTGTGGCAGTGTCTGTCTCTGTCTCTGTCTGTCTGTGGCTGTGCGGCACAGAGAGTGCATTGTGTTGCCGCTTAGTGGTCGACTAATGCAGCAGCTTAGCAGCCCCATTGCCCTTCGAGAGAGCCAGAGAGGGAGACAACCTATTGCCTGGTGTTTCGTGTAATTAACAGGGCATTCAAAGCTGGAATCATGCTCCTACCTTGTCTGTCTGTCTGCCTGTCTGTCTGTCTGCCTCTCCCTTGCGGTTGCCAGGCAGAGATTTCAAATTGAAATGTGCCAAGGAAATGTTTAAATACATTTCACTCGTTCAGGAGTCAACACCTTAACGCTTTCCCAGAGCCAGAGACGCACAGAGAGAGTGGCAGACACAGACAGATCCTCGTATGCTCTGTTGCAACATGCAACATGTCAATTAGTCAGGAGTTTTTTTGTACAAGGAGCAAAATGGCAGCAGCTGCCAAATTTAATTTTACCAATCCATGCCCCTAGACCTCTCTCAATCCCCCCACCCCCCTCTCTGCCCCTCCCCTCTCGCTCTGCGTCTAAACCTTTTGCTTGTTGCATGGAGATTCAAAGCATTTTCATGTTGCTGCAAACAGAAGGGAGGGGGGGGGAAAAAAACAAAAAAGAAACGAAGGAAAAACAGCAGTAAAAACCAAGTGAAAACTTTTCAACATGTGTTGGCAGCAAGCGGGCCAAAGGCAAAGGAAAAATGTCGAAAGAAAACTCCTTAAAAGTTGAGGGGGGCGGGGCGCAGTGGAAAAAGGTGCCAAGTGGCATGTGGCAAGTGGCAGGTAATAATCTATGCATGTGTGGGTGGACAAGTAGAAGTTTTTTGGTGGGTGGGGGGGGGGGGGGGAGGGGGGAGCGAGACTCTTTTGGACTCTCGGTCGACACTTGGCAGCACTTGACATTTATTGTGGCAGTGGCAGAGAGTCGGAGAAGAAGTCAGAGCCCCGAGCCGAAGAGAGGAATGCATTTGAAAGTGCCTGTCATGGAAAGCCAACACAGGGGATGGGTGGATGGGTGGCTGTAAGCTGTCTTAGTTGCTTATTATGCCACCCTCCTCCACCCATCCACCCACCCACCAACAGCATCTCAGAGTCATCGTCGCCTGAGCGTGCGGAAATGAGCAGCTGTCTTGGTCTCTCTTCCCCTCTTTCTCTCCGACTTTCTCTGAATGGTTCTACAGCCATGTTCAAGTTTAAGCCTGGCCAACAGCAGCTCCTCCTTGCCGACTGCCTTCGGGGGCCTTCGACTCACTTGGCGCTAAGTAGTCGCGCAGCAGTCGAGTGCAATGAAATTTTAGCTGCAGCCTCTAGCTCCTTTAGCTACTAAGTCAAACCCTTACACACACACACACAGATACACACACACACACACACGTATGTGTCATAAGAGTGGAAAAAGAGGAGCAGCTGCAACTGCAAGCAGCAGCCATTTTTTATCATCATTTCCGGAACTCGTTGACAAACGGAGGCGACGAGCCGAAGTGCAAAAACGAGGCACAGGGAGACACTCTAGAGGGGCGGAGGGTGCCTTGGCCAAGGGCTGCTCCACTCTCGAAACGGATATGACCGAAATAGCATAGCCATTGCTTATAATTTTACATTTGAAAACTACACTTTGGAACTACTTTTCAGATGTAAGTATGTGCTTACTTATACGACGACCATCGAACGATACGATTATCCCTCTGCCACACAGCAGCACCGCAGCACCCCAGCACCCCTTGTGCACCCCTGTTGTGCCACAACGTGTGTGGGTCCTAGGACTTTTGGCGCTTCGCAGACAACTCCGAGGGATTACACTTTAAAGTTGGCTGTCCCTGAAACGATACAATATATGGTAGATGCTTATAAGAAAGGAGGAGCTTATTAGAGACATAGGAGAAGTGTTAGTCTAGGAAAATACAAACACGTGACCATCACATTATTACCGATTATTTATCGCCTTGAGCCCACCTTGAGATTATTTGTTGAATGGGGTTTTCTTTACAGATAATACTTCTCTTAAATTTTGTCGTAAATTAATCGATTCTTTATCGAGGGCACGTATGAAATAGTTACAATCACGAGAGGAATCTCTCCAGAGTAAATATTTTCAAATAATCGATTATTTATCGATAACTTGTGAACTATCTGCCTGATTACTTAATATTTTAATATTTATTTATAATTTCTGTCAACAAATTCCTGTATAAAAATTCTCAGCAATTCCTTTTTTAAATAATCGATTTTTATCGATAACTAATTTAACAACGATTCTTTATCGATAACTTGTAGGCCATCCGCCTGATTACCTTTTATTTTATTATTTATTTAAAGATTCTGTCAAGAAATTCATCTCTTAAAATTGTCATCAAATCCTTTTTTAAATAATCGATCTTTTATCGATACCTTGTAAACCATCTGCCAGGGGACGTAATATTATATTATTTATTTATTATTTCTGTTAACTATTTTTATCGATAACTAACATTTCATATATGCTATATCCGCTTTCTGTTTAAAAACTCTTCACGAAATTCTCTCTAAATTATTGTTAATAAATAATCGACTATGTATCGATAACCTGTGAGCCGTCTGTACTTATTTATTTCTTATGTCCGCGAACAAAATCTATTATCCCTGTCATTATGTGGCGACCACGTAGCCAAACACATCATTTCGGTGGTATTAATTTTTCATGCCCCACTGAAAGCCACTCGCAAACTAGCGATAAAAGAAGTCATAAAACATCGATATCAATGAGCACATACGAGCACAGAGTAGTACGAGCCCCCTATGGCGGCGGCCTGGCCCCAGACCGAAAATCTCTGGCTAATTTCTGGCCAAGGCAGCGCATTCGCTTGGTCAACCATGGATACTGTTAACACTTGTCCTTCTCCCAGCCCTGCCCTGCCCTGGCCTCCTCCTGGTTCCATTTCCTTTGGCCAGTTTCTGCAGTTACTGGCATTTACTGGCATATCAGCAAAAGCCATGCCCATAGCCAGAGACATCCCCCCAGAAAATACGCCCTGCTTGTTGGGGAACGGCGGGCCGTTCGACAGGATTCACTCTCTGTGTTTGGGTGTATGTGTGTGTGTGTGTGTTTTTGGAGTGTTTTTTTTCGCATTGACAGCAAATTCGAAATATATTTGCCCAGCATTTTGGCCGAGTGCTGCTGCTGCTCCTGGCCCCTCCCCAGCCCACGTTTTACACCACACTTTCGAGGGCTTTCAACGGGGGGTTACCTCTTTCTCTCTCTCTCTCTCTCTCTCTCTCTCTCACATGTTTGGCTTACTGGGCTTGAGCCTGGGAATGTTTTTACTGCTGAATGGGTAATTTAGTATTTGGCAATTAGCTTTTGCTTTCGGCCCTCACTGTCTCTCTATTTGGCTCTGACTCTGGCTCGGGCTTGGCTCTCGTTTGGTAGGTTTTTTCTTTGCCAGCTTCTTCTCCCGCTCTCTTTCACACCCCCTGTAGCTGTCTCTGTCTTGCCACTTGTGCACTAGTTTCGCATTCATTGGCACTTGCATTCTGCCGAGTCGTCGCTTGTTCGCTGCTTCATTGCTTCGTTTGTTTGTTTATCTGTTAAATTATGCAGTCGTCTATTAAGTGGCCGAGATTTATGTGACCAAGCGCCACACAGCCACACAGTGACTACCATTAAGACCGCTACCAGCAGGAAAGGAATGGGAGGAGCAGCAGGCGCAGGAGCAGGAGAAGAAGGAGGAGCAGGAGGCACTAAGGAGGATCTTATTCTTTTAATTCTGTAGCGCCTTAAGGAGGGTATTACCCTTTGGGGGAGATATTTGCCAAGCAGAGAGGGAAACGTATGTCACAAATGGAAAGACGATCGTCGAAGATCTTCAGAAAGAAGTGAAGAAGCAAGATTTGTATCTTTCAGGATCTCCCTGACCAAAAATTGACGAGGGACCGGGACAGACATTGAATATTTTAGTTAATATCACAAATCAATAGACAAATATTAGTTTATAGGCTTGGATGGTACTTATAATTTGGAATATAGCCCATAAATCTTTTCTAAATATTCCAAAACCTCTTAAATAATTTGTAATCTTCATCTGCAGGATATCTACAAAAAATGTTTAGGTTTAAGGAAGAATCCTAAGACGTTTCATAGGATTTTTGATTCGCGTCTATAGAATGGAAACACCTGAAGATATAGAGAACCAAAAATGAAGTTTTCTACCATTTTTAATGTTTCTTTAACTTGGAATTTTTTACAATTTTTATTTTGTATCTTATGGTCAAATTTTTAGACGAAAGTTCTTTAGTGACATTAATTCTGAACAAAACTCGGCTAACAATCATTAAAATTTTCCAAAGAATGTCCTCGAATTTCTGCGGCCAACCCAACTTTAAAATAAATAAAGGAATGAATGCCTTTAAATATAATTATATTTTTTTCTTGGTGATTTAAAACACAGATTGATCACTTCGAATCTCTTGAAGCGGGACTAACTAGAAGAATCGTCATCAGCATAAATAAAGCACAGATATTAATTATCCGAAAGTGTATCCCGACCATCGATCCATCCTCAAAATCGACTCATTCGCTGGAGTGGAAAAATACTGGCAGTTATCCATATGGTTTATTCATGGTTATTATAATAAAACACATAAATTGTACGGCCCATGAGCGAATGAGTATAAATACATATGTTCTGATAAAAGTATTTACTATATAGAGTACTATGTAGGCTACATAGTACGAGAGGGGGGAGGGAGGAGGGAGGAGGGGGTTATCTGACAATATATAAAATTTGTTTTCCACTTTCTGCTTCTTTTTTTTTTTGTTGTTTCTTTTTCGCTATTTGCAATTAT